CTTCTTGAAATTGGATCACTATATTCCTCTATTACATCGATTACTCTTTGTACCATATCTTTATTTAAACGAAATAATCTCATAAACTCTGAATTATTTAGCTCAAATGGATCACTACATTGAAGTCTTCCTCTATTTTCGAACAAAATAGTGTTTTCTAAAATATCTATGTTTTCTAATATACTTTGATAAAAAAGTTCCCAGAATTCATTCAAAAAATTCAAAATACAAATTTTATTCATCAAAAGTGATATTGTCCCTTTCAAAGTACTCCCCATCGACTGCAATGCTTATGCCAGTGCTTGATGTAGCTCTCGAAACATTTCTGAAACTCTATTGTCGGTTTAACCATCAGAACCGTCTTCGATTTTTCCATTACCTCCTTTCAGCTATTAAAACGCGTTCCCCGTAATAGTTTTTTGACTGGATCGAACAGAAAAAAATCGCAGGGAGCCATATCAGGTGAATTCGATGGCTGATGGTATTCGTTTCGTTCTTGGTCAAAAATTCACGGATGATGATGGCACTGTGCGACGGTGCGTTATCATGATGCAAAATCCACGAGTTGTTTGCCCACAAATCCAAAATCGAAAATACGTGCAGAGGTAGATGTACTCAAGACGGCGTAACTTTTACAAATGTCAAGCTATGGTGATAAAATTTGGTGGGAATGTCAATGATAGATGTGGCAACCTAACCAAAAAAACAGAATCCAAATCAGCTGACTCAGAGCATCACCTGGTGGTAATTCCGGGAATTTTTTGATCAAGATGGTATCTTGCATTAAAATCAACTAATCTTTTTAAAACCGCTATATCAGATTATTATAATTTATAGATGTCAATTTATATAGAATTTATATAGAATTTTTATCACATACGAATCTTTGTTTCGAATATTGTGATACAATGTAAATCGCATGAGATTTTTCAAATACGATCACATAGCAATTGTTCAGGAATATCAATTATTCATATACGAGTATACCAATTATTCGTATACGAAATTACCATTTTCGTATGCGATGTTTGTTCAAGAATAGAGTCCCAAAGGTTTCTCTCTGGTCGAACACAATATGATGAACACAAATTCGCACGCACACATTCAACCATCAGTTGCTGCGTCCTTATTCACTGCTCGGAACCGTGCTCAGCTCCTTGTATAGGTACATTCAGTACTATGACCGCTCAGTGAGTTCTTGCATCTGATTGGCACAATCCGTTAGAACTAAAAATATAAACTAAGCAGACATTCTACATCCTATCTTGAATTCGCTTTCGTCAGCCGGAGCGGTTTTTTTAAAACGCTAGCAACCCTTATTTTAGATTAGTTTTTTAAAGGCAATCCTATTCCATAAATAGTAAATATTAAATTATGATCTAGTGCAAAAATTATTGAGCTATGCAATGGACAAATGAACAAAAAAATTTAATGAAAAATTCATTCATTATTTACCCTCTTTATCCTGACTGCCAGAAGGTTGTGACCACTAAAGGTGGCACCCAACCATTTTCGTAATCTATAGATCCTCCCTTTTCCAACGATAGCCCTTTTATTTAAACATATGCGGATCATTTTTCCAAAATTTTTTAATCAAAAATATTGTAATTAATAATATTTCTGACTACTTTTTTTAGACACCCTTGCAGTTTAGTTGCCTTCAATACAAACTTCGATTTTTGTTTACATTTAATCTTCATACGCAATAGATGCACAAACTCGCGGTGGAATTAATAACAGATATAAAGGGTGTATCGCGATATACATCCAGTACTGGCAGTACTGAAAAATTGTTCCTATTACCGCTACACAACGCGCTGCGACAGCATCTAGTTCCCTCACTAACGTCATAAATGATAATCATATTGCGATTACTGCGGCTTTCGAGGTGAAGCAGTTACAATATGGCGTCGCTTAAAGAAGCACAACGCGTCGAAATATTCGATCCAAGAAATAAAAAAATATATACAT